TAACCAGTATTTTGTAATCTTAGCAGATTTGTTTGGGAGGTAAATATTTTGGGGAAACGATTCAGTGTTTGGGACTGAGCCTATGAACTGCTCTTAACAAGTATTTTCTAGGAACAGTACAGGTGTTGTCTGCTTCAGTAGTTCCTGGCTTTGCTTTTAATTTCTTATGTAAACTATTTCAGGGACATTTTTTATTTTCTGCAGACAGTGAAAGTGATAGAGAACTTAAAAGGTCCCTTAGTAGTCATCAAAGAACTTTGAGTGATAGAGAACTTAAAAGGTCCCTTAGTCATCAAAGAACTTTTTCCCCGAAAATCATACCCTTACTCTGAATGTGCCAGTTTTCTAATACTCTGCTGTGGCTGTTGAACGACTGGCTTTTACAGGGATGTTACCATTCTGTTCCTCCGTAGATGGCTGGTAATTATGTCTTGATAGGTGTCACTTTCTGTTTTGTAACTCTTCCAGCAAGATGCACTTTGTCTCTTCTGGATTGAGGCCTTATTTGTAGCTTTTGCAAGGTACTTGAAAAACCTTACTTCATTCTTGCAGATGTGGCAGCACTTATGGGCTGGATAACAATAGTGCAATGCTCCCTAAGCACAGGCCAGTGAACTGGAGAGGTCTTGTGAGTTGCTCGGACTGTGGGAGTGGCACAGAAGAAAAGAAAAAGAAACAATCAGCGTAGTATTTAGTGATACTGCCTCAATGTTTGGCTTTGCTTTTTCTCTGCATTTCATTGTTTGAGAGATTTTTGCATTCCAAAACCACGCTGCTGACTGGTGAGCTTCTTGCTGGTTTGTGTACTGGGGGTGTTGCAATTTCTGTTGGCTTTTCTTGGTGTTGGCTGATGGGCAGTCGTTGCGATAGATTGGAGTCCACAGCTTGGTAAGATCTAAGCTCTGAACTTGAAACTGCTTGGCGCCAGCATTGACACATACATTCAACTGTTTTGTGGGGCTCATGCCTATCCTGGTGCTTTTTGGTACTTCGCTTGGTGTATCATAGGATACAGATTCCCAGTTTTTGTCTTTTCATTCTTTGTCTGATATCGGAGGAGGAAGAGAGTCATTTGGTTGCACCTTTAAGTCTTGTCTGTGGTGAAATAGTGTCAAAGTTCAACAGTCATCATTACATATTGAAAAGCTGCGCTGTGGATGCGTGCCTTATTTCTAGACTTGCAAAGGTGGGTTAGCATTAAAATAGCGGGGTCTGATCTGGAGTACCTGGGACAAATGCTTCTCTGTCGCCTTTGCTATGGAGGGCAGTGATGTCTGGTAGAAGGCCAAAAATGGCAGCTAGGGGAATGTCATAATCCATTGCACTGAAATCCACTGGAGCCTCTCTTTAAGAGCTTACAGTAACAACAGTTTAACTGTGCCAACTAGTCCATCACTTCCCTAATTAATCCCATGCAAGTTTGAGGAAATTGAGAACCTCCAAACAAATAAAAATACCATGTCGGAGTGCAGTGTATACCAAATGTTACTCTGCTGACTTATTTTAGAACAGTCTTTTCAGTACTAAGTTTGTCACGTCAAACACTTTTGGTTTGTGTTTATTCATGGGAAAGTTTCCGTGGCACAGTTAAGTCATCAAAAGTCAGAAAATGCCGATGTTAAGGTTACATATGCCTCATCATGTGGAGGCTCTGCCTGAGTTCAGAAGCACCTCCGTAGCGCTCTGGTGACGTGGCCGTCTTCACCACATGCAGCAGAGCCTTCCTTAACCATGCCCTTGCAGCTTGGCAAAGAGGAAAAGGAAAACCACGACCGCTTGGCTGGCAGCGGAGCGGAGGCCAAAGAAGCAGTGAGTGAAGGGAGGGATGATCAGGGAGGCACTGGGAAGAGACCCAGCTGGCCCCGAGCTTGGAGCGGAAGGGCAGGAGGTCCGTGCTGAGCCACAGGCCTGCACAAGAGGAGCGGCAGCCCAAAGGGGAGGGCGTCTGGGTCCATGTTGATCTCTCTGCCCTTGGGCTCCCCTCAAGTTCATAGCATAGCTCATGGGCACATCTTCACCTCTTGCACCATGCCTGCAGCTCAGGAAGACGCTTAACTGGAGACTGGCATTGTAGTAGGTTATGTGTGGTGGTTATGGCATGAAGCTGAGTGTGGAGAAATCCTTCAACTTTTAAACTTCTGTCCAAGTTTTGCATGCTCCGTGGAGTTCTGGGATGTCGCAGCTTAGTAAACTTTGTTAGCAGAGGTTTTTATCACAAGTTACACAAGAACAGAGGATAAGGACAGTTGCACTAAATCCGGTTGCCCCGTAGATTGCTTGTAGTTGCTCATAACCCCTCACATAGTCGGATTTTTTTGTCGACACACATCTGATGGATGTGCTGCTTGCATAAGCAATTCTTTACTTGTTTTTTTGTCAAACTGGGTCCTACTGTTTAGCAGATAATGGCTGTGACTGCAACTTGCCATGCTGCGCACAGAACCATATCTGAAGTGAGAGCTTTGGCTTTTCCATTAGGTCAAGAGTTTGAAGATAGTGGCTGGCACTAGCAAAACTTTTGCAGAAGTCATTTTCTGTAGTGCTCTTGCAGAGGGATAATTGCCACTGAAGTAAGTCTGCAGGGATGCTGAGAATGTTTTCATCCTTGAGTAACAAGAGAAAAATGATTCCACAGAGGGAAAAAGAGGTCAGTGTTTTGAGCACTTCTACCTTCCCTAAGGTACACCGAGGGAAAATCTGGACAAATCCATTCAGACGGTCCCACTAAGAGGGTCACACACATTAACAGAAAATGAGTAGAAATATCATAAACATCTAGAGAATCTGCAAGTATCTTACTTTTATGACAGTGCAAATGGTTCATCTACTGTAAAACTGTTGCTAAGCAAACTGAACATGTTGGCAATTACCAGCAGTCAGAAGTGATAGCTCTCAGAATATATAATAAGTGGGAACTTTCCATATGTAGGTCTTCTTGAAACAACATGTGAATGTTTAGCCGGTGGAGGTTGTATTTGCCACTTTTTAGCCCTTACTATTTTGAAAACTACTCCACTTATAAAAGAATATTTAAAGGAATTCCAAAGGAATAAATAAGTAAATTTAAAGGAATAATTCCTTTAAAATATGCCTCTTAAAGGAATAAAGAATGGGCTTAGCAGGAAAGGACTACTTTACTAAGAGAGATCCATTTAGAGCTAGGTAGCTAGCCAGCACTTTATAAATAAGATTGCCTAGAATGTTTTGCAGAAATGCTTGTTATAACTTCTGGAAAAACTTTTTTTTATTGCAGAGCTTAATTATGAATGCATTATTTTAATTATAATTCCATAAAATGAACATCTGAAAGGGTCTGTAGTTTTGTTTGGTGGTTTTTTTTTTTTTTTTGGGGAAGGGGCCTTGAAGGTTGACTCATAATAAAGCCTACTTTATTGGTGTCAATAGAATTTGGACAAATTTGTGTTGACAGAAACTTGCAGTAATTTACACAAAGTTCTGTAACCTTTTCTTGCTTGAAAGGCTTTCCCAGGTGTTGGAAGGAGCCCTTTCCAGCCCTCTCCTGGAAGCAGGTTAC